GTAAACACTACTTATATTTGGAATTTATACAATAGATAAATAATTATGAATCAATTCAAAATTGATCATATTTACAAAAATGGCCAGCTATCATTCCAATAATATCTACAGTCTGTCCTTTCTCCCAAACAAATTTAAAAAGTAAAAATAGATGGTATACAAATTCAATTTATATTTGATTGCTAAAGTCTAATTGGTTTAACGTATCTATTTAAATTTAAATAATATTAAAAAGCCCAATTATTATTATTATTATTATTATTATTATTATTATTATTATTATTATTATTATATAGTTGTAGGTTAGGTTAAAAGAAAGAAAGAAAAAAAAAAGTTGACCTTGTAATGAATTGTGTTGTTTGGTGGCCGGTTCATGGTTGACCTAACCTTCATAAAATTTATTTATTTATTATTATTATTGCATATGACAAATTTAATGATTGGTTTGACCTTCAAAAGTTGAATCAGTAAATAATATTGTATATATTAAAATGCGCATATTATACATCAATTTGAGAGAAATTGAAAAATTATAGGGCAAAAACTTGTTTAATATTAAGGAAGAAAATATTAGGGTTTTAGAGAAAAACATGGAAATAGGGAATACTATTTTAAACTAATTAAAAATATTTTTCAAATATTTCATGATCCAAATTGGCTACACAAACTTTCAGAAATTAAAAAAAAAACACTTACAAAGGCGTGTGGTATTATTACGATAATTTTGACGAGTTTCTAAAATTTTCATATTTTAAGATTCTTCTTATTATTTTTAGTTCAACAAACATTCGAATATTTGAGTCTTGAATCTTTATATAATCAATTGAACTATATTCAAGTTGGCTTAATAATCTTTTTATCAGATTTAACTTTTATATATATCATTTTTTCTTAATTTATATAAATTCTTTCATCAATTCTTTTATTGTCACATCATGTTAAAAGTATTATAAAATATAATTAAAAATCTCATCACATTTTCAGATAATATTTTTTTTCTGTTCTAAAATATTTTTAAACAAAATTAACTACTAGATATAGAATTGACACCCTTAAAAATATAAGATAAGGTTATATAAAGCATTAAATCATTATGAGAAGGGAAGGATCTAAGAAAAGCCTCTCTAATCTTAAACATAGGACATGAAAAATACAAAAGTTTTGAGGTCTCCATTCTATAGAACAAAAAAAGAGGACATTTCATGACACTTTCCCCTTTCTTGTCCAATATTTGTCTTGGAATTTCAAATGGATTTTAGGTCAGCAATGGCATGGCTTAGCACATGCTCCATGCCTTGTGTGTCTCCACACCAACACATTCTCTTATTACAAAACAAAAATCATAACACTTATCCCATACTTTGGACAGCTATATCATTACCTAAATCGTCATTTCAGTTCATTTTGATGTGGATGAAAATGTCGGAATCTAAATTGTGTGTAAAGATGTTAACAAAAATGTCGATGGAAATATCGTTGTTGGAGGATTTTTTCTATGGTGAAAATCAAGAATTTTATGAACATTATTTAGATGGATGAACGAATGGTCCAATTATACCTTGTGTCAAAATGAATTATTGTATTTACTAAGTCTTTATATTTTAAATACTTTTTATTATAGGTTTAGGTTTGAAAGAATTTCAAGCATATTTTAAAACTAAAAAAAAAATAGAAAGGGCTAAATCGAAACTAATATCAATCTAACCCATTTCATGAATAAAATATGATCAATTAACCAACGTTTTGTTTATATCAATCGATGTCGTTAACTATAACTTAAAATAAAATCCAACCCAAAATTCAAACACGTGATCAAAACTTTTAAAATATATAAACTAGATAAATATAAGGTGGAAAATACAAAATTCTAAGCATATATATAATGTAACCAAACTTTTATTCATGTCAAAATTTGAAGTGCAATTGATTGTTTTCCCTTTTATTTAAAAGAAAAAGAAAATAAATAGTGGAATCGTCCACTCTTTATACGGCTGGCGTGCAAGTGCATCTTTGCCTAAACTCAGGTTTTCCCATATACCGAAAAAGCTTTTTTAGACAATAATAATTAATTACTTATTTCAATGCTAATGGGTTTTCTTTTTTTTCTTTTCTTTAGATACCACTATTTTACTTTTTTCTTTTACAAGTATATTATAATTATAATTCTAATTATTATTTAGAAAAATATAAATGGGTTTGGTAAAGTTTTATGTGAAAAAATTAATAGAAATGTATTCTTAGGCTAAAATAACCAAATACAAAATTAAATAAAAATGAAAACGAACAAAATTTACCAAAATTAAACATAAAATCCCCTCAAAGTTACAAGCAAGTGACAAAATCAAACCCAAAAAGTCAATTTCTCTCATCTTCCATGAAAATCTCTTTTACCGAATCAACCTATTTTGAAAATGGAAGGAATTGTTTTTAAATATTAAAACATTAAATAAAACATCACTTTTATAGAAGGTAAAGAGATCAAATTCAACTCATCCAAAACTCACAAGGAAAAATAAAAAAATAAAAAAATTTGTCCATCAAATTAGGTAGACAGATAATATGTGCATTCAATCAGGAAATATTTTTGGTTTAAACATATTAGGACAAAACAAGAAATTGTTAACATTAGATAACAATTTCTTGTTTTGTGTTTTCTCATCTTTTTAAATAAAAAATTAAAATCTTTTATTTATAATTTAATTTTGTAATTATATATTCAAATTTTTTATGTTATATTTGTTATACGTTTTATGAGTCAATAGTAATAATGATACTAATGAGAAGAAAAAAACGGAAACAGATACAAACAACCTGATTGTGTTGCTTCCAAAATTTTTATACAATTACTCAACTTTCATGTTTATCAAAAACAAAAAACGAGAAATAAAAAACAAAAATATACTAAACAAAAGAAAAAAGAAAAACTTTATTGCGAATATAAATATGTTAGATTCCATTTTGAGTTGTAGTCCTCCAAAATAAACTGAAAAACATTAAATACTCTTTTTACAAAATAAAAAAACCTATAATTTAGGAGTGGTGGGTGGAACTAATTGCATCACTTTCAATGGTGTGGAAAAATGGAAATAAATATAAAAGAGAGAATAATATGAAAGAAATGTAACAGCTATAAATACATCTCTATTATTTCTCTCTTTTTATTTATTATTTATTATTTACTATTTTATTTATTTATTTTGAGAAACAGCTAACTTAGCTTTGAATGAGCCCTTTGGTAACGTGATTTCGAATCAATCTTAGCCATCATCCGTTTTTGCCCCCACCGCCCTTTAATTAAACCCTCCTCCAAATCAAATTACTTAATTCTTTCAAACATTCAAACAATATAATAATAATAATAAATAATTTATTTCCTGCGTGCTTTTTAATTTTTCGTAGCATAATTCACACGAACCTTCGTGGAGGATAACTCTTACTTTGGCCCGTAAAAGAAAAATTATATATAAACTTCTAAATATTTTGTTTTAATCTTTAAATTGGATGCACTAAATTATTTTACCCCTCACTATCAATTGAACAAAATAATAATTTGAATTTTATACGTTGAAGTAATTTGTGATTGTTTTAAATGAAATTTAGGGACTAATTAAAAAAGACAAGGAGATTAAGGATGGGAATGGAAAGAATTTAGGGGGGTGGAGAGTAATTTTAGTAAAATAGGTAGTACGGAAATATGATTATAGAACAAAACGTGGGAGATAATGAATTAAAATGGAATAACTAATAAAATTATCGTGAGAAGAATAATATGCTTTAAAGTCAAAATGTCCGAAGAATTAGTGAAATGAAATCACCCACTTTTGCATATTTTATAAATAATTTTTAATTGAAAAAAAAAAGAAAAAGTTTAGAATTAAATAATATAATCTCCACATGCAAGAAAAAGAAAAAGAAAAAGAAAAAGAAAAAGAAAAGTAAAAGACGGGGGGCCGCCTCGGCCTCGGCGACGGCCTGCGCCTGCGCGGCGGTTCGACCAAATCATTGCCGAATGAATTCCCTTAATCAAGGGCGCCACGTGTCATCTGTGGGCCCCACACTAGGTCCCACTTACCCTACCCGTTTTCACTACCATTGGCCGTGTCAGATTTATTCGAAGTAAAAACTTATTTAAATATTCTTATTTCGATAATTTATTTTGTTCTCCATATTTTCAAAATTTTTGTTACAAAATATTTATTCTGATAATGGTACTTTTCAAAAAGTGAATATTTTTATTTTTATGTATTTTATTCCATTATAAGTTTAAATGATGCTTAACTAATTCAATAGTCAATTCTTTAAGAGTCATAGATTTATATTACATAGTATTTATTGGGTACAAAATTGGTATTAAAATTTTATAAATAGAGATTAAATTGATCACTTTTTCCAAAGTATATGAATTAAAATGTAGGTTTTGAAACTAAAATGACTAAAATGAACTAAAGTCGATATTACAAGAACTAATTTAAGTATTTTGAAGGGAGGATAAAATGTGGAAAATAGTATTTAAACCATTTAAATATGTATTTTCTTTATAGCATTAAAACCAATTAAATATTAGATAAGAAGATGAAGGATTATTTGGGCTGATTTACCCTTGCTCTTCTGTGTCTGTTTCCATAAATCCTCTCTGTTATTCTCGCCGTTTCTAATCGGCGGTTTTTTTAAGCGTATAAAAGGGCGATTAATTCATATCTTTTTTGTAGGGTTTATTTGTCTTCTTCTTCTTATTATTTTTTACTGATCCATTACTGCAGCTGGATCCTTCGTCATCTTCTTCTTCTTCTTCTTCGGCCGACGCGTTCTTGGCCGTCTGATTTCTTGACGAGACTTAATTCCTATCCAGACGCTGGCTCTCTCATTTTCCTCTTGATTTTCTGTTTGAGCGCTCTGGGTGTTTGGAATTTGGATCGTTTTTTAGGGTTTTGTTTTTGGACCTGAATGTGGGCGGGATTCTGATCGGTTGAGAGCTTGTGTGTTCTTCTTTTCTCTTTTCTGGTGCCAGATAGATCCGTTGGAGAGAGGGATTCTGTTTGCGTTCTTGATTTTGTGTGGGAGAGCCGAGAATGTCTGGACCCTTGGATCGATTCGCCCGCCCATGTGAGTTTCCTCCGAATTGCTGCTTTTGTTTTGTCCTTCCTTTGACCTCTGCTGTTTTGAAATTGGGGTTCTTTTTATCCACGCATTTGGAGATATGGTAGGTTTGGAGTTCTTATTTTCTCTGAATTTGGGCTTCCCAGTCCGAGGAGTGGGTTAAAAAGAACTTGAAGAGCGTTAATTTTCCGAATTTACGGGGGGATTTGGTGAGGGGGAAGCGGAGTTTTTTTGTGGGGCATTCATGCATCATTCGAACATACAAGGCTTTGAGCGTTTCGTTTTATGTAATTTTAGTTCTGGGGTCTGTTCTTGAAGTGACCTAACCTAGGGGATTTTCATATCACTTCCATCCTGTGATCGTCACAGTTTCTTCAAATCTTTTACTTTGGCATCGGATCAAAGATGCTTTTAGTATAAAGAAAAGTTTTCCACAACCACCTTTAATGCTATTGAAATTTGACTAGTTATTTGAGTCGCATGCTATTGCTTAATCTAGCTGTGACTCTCCACTGTGACTTTTAGACAATTCCAGACAGATTGTATAACAAACTATCTTGGTTGTTAAATTTAGAGTGCACAATTCGATGGAAAATTTATCGTCTTGTTTGCGGTTTAGTCCAATGTGCGGATGATTTCAAGGGGATGAAATGTAGTCGTATCAATTCCTGGAATTTCTTCCCCTCATTCTAGACGGATTATGTCATCACTTGCTAATGCCATGCAGTTTGGATCTTCTTGCAAAGATAGTGCTACTTGCCACCAATCCCACAATTGTGCTTAATGGAAAAGAAAAAATTGAGAAGAGAGAGAGAGAGAGAGAGAGAGAGAGAGGATACGGACCCTTGTGAGATTTAGTTTCAGAGTCATCATGTGTTAGGTTAGGTAGGCAGTTCATAATTGACACTTGAAGTAGTTAATTTTTGGGAGGTTCTCATACGGCATGTCTTTTTGTTCAGCCTCATCAAATTTTTGGTGTTTGTACTCACTCTTATTAGGTCATTGTTCTAAATGTTAGGCTTTGAAGGGTTCTCTGGTAGTGAAGAAAGAAGAGAAAGGAAATCTGATTTTGAAAACTCGGAGGATGAAAGGAGAACTAGAATTGGGTCTCTAAAGAAGAAAGCACTAAATGCATCTACCAAATTTAAACATTCCCTCAAGAAGAAGAGCAGCAGGAGAAAAAGTGATGGTCGTGTCAGCTCGGTTTCTATTGAGGATGTTAGGGATGTTGAGGAGTTGCAGGCTGTTGATGCATTTCGTCAAGCATTGATAATGGATGAAATACTGCCAGACAAACATGATGATTATCACATGATGTTAAGGTCTGTAACCTTTCTCTTGTTGTGCATATTGTAATGTATGCCCCTTCATAATTTTACTGGTCCCTTTTTCCCACTTAATTCATTTACCTCTAATATGTGGTCGAATGCGAGGATTCGATTCTATTACTGCTTTAAATTGCTTGGAAATTGGTTTTATTTAGATTAGGTTGTGTTATAATGGTACAATAACAGAAGCAAAAAGCAAATGTCTTTCTAAAACAAAACCATCATGGGATGGCTCAAGTGGTCAATGAAGGCCAATGTAAATAGCAAAAGACTTAGAGAGAATGAGCTCAAACCATGATGGCCACCTACCTAGGATTTAATATCCTACGAGTTACCTTGTCAACCAAATGTAGTAGGATCAGGTGGTTGGCCCGTGATTAATCGAGGTGCGCGCAAGCTGACCTAGACACACGGATTCAAAAAAAAAAAAAAAGTCTTTCTAACACAAAGATTTATATAGTTCAGTTTGACAATCTGCCTAATTGAATTTGAGCTTTCTTCTAGCATGAGACAGATTCAATCATGCTAGATTGTTGGTGCCTTTTATATGCAGCTTTTGTCCACACTTTTCTTTATCTTCTTGGTATGCCTCAAATTACTATCTTTTGGCTATTTTTCCCACCCCTACTTTAAAAGACACACAGAGGCCTATCATTTGCCTACCTGACTCAAGCGTGTGTCTTACAACTCTTGCACCTCAATGAAGTCTGTAGTTTCTTTAATCAGCCAATACCTTTGTTTTACTTTATTTTCATATAGAAAACTATCATTCTCTGTCTTTCCTCCATCATTAGCTTGTTTTTTGGCCTTGTGTTTTTAGTACAAAACAGATTAAAATCTATCACTTTTCTTTATTCATTTCTAGTTTCTGTAGGAATTTTTTGCCAAAGAAATTTTATCCGTCGTATGATTCTCATATGCTTAAAAGAATTATTTCCAACTATATTAGTGCCTTTTGTCTCACTTAGGCTTGTACATGCCTTGTGCTTTAGAATCTATGGAGCTTGTGTGTCTTAAAAAAGCATTTTCCCAACTTCATGATGTCCTGACTTCACGAAGTTCAATTCCTCTGATAAGCTGCTTTTAACATATTGTTTCAAGATGATATGCTTGTAACTTCCCATTCACCTTTTCAGGTTTTTAAAAGCTAGGAAATTTGACATTGAAAAAGCTAAGCATATGTGGGCTGATATGCTTCAGTGGAGGAAGGAATTTGGTGCTGACACAATAGGTGAAGTAAGTACAGGTTGAACTTTTTTTTTACCTTTTTTTTTAATGGAAACTCTCTATCCTTATTATGCTAGCAATTTCCCCCAGGACTTTGAATTCAAAGAGAAAAATGAAGTTCTAAGGTACTATCCTCACGGTTATCATGGTGTGGATAAGGAAGGAAGACCCATTTACATTGAAAGGTTGGGAAAAGTGGATCCAAACAAACTTATGCAAGTGACAACTATGGATCGATATATAAAGTACCACGTGCAAGAGTTTGAGAAAAGTTTTGCAATCAAGTTTCCAGCCTGTTCTATTGCTGCAAAGAGGCACATTGATTCAAGCACCACAATCTTAGATGTCCAAGGCGTGGTATGTTGGATCTTGATGTTTCTATTTTTTTTACCAGATTGGTTCATGATCATGATCAAGCCATTCGAATTAATTTTAGCTTGCTATTTTTTGTCTTTTATCTATTTAGGGCCTCAAGAATTTCACCAAATCTGCCAGGGAACTAATAATGCGGCTGCAGAAGGTTGATGGTGACAATTACCCAGAAGTAAGCAACTTCACTTCTTTGCAACGATAACCTGAAATACTTTGTACTATCTAATTAATCTTCGACCTCGATACATCACTTGAAGTTGATGCTTTTGTGAAGTATGCTGTATGGAGCTTTTATCTTAGTAGCACGTCTTTCTTCCTGTGGGATGTGGAAACATTGCGGCATGCAACTTGGCAAACATGTAGATTTGAGTATAACATCTATATATATATATACTGTGCATGAATATAACTAATATATAAGAGTAATAATAAATTTTTAATTAAAACCATCTTTCATTATGCATATGCATGCGTATTTGATTTTGAACTTTCTTGTGATGCAAGATCTCAAATATTGTAAGAGTGTCTGTTTGATTTTCTCCATAATCTTTACATAAAATAATGCCTCATTATACCATGCACAGAATTCATAGTCACTTGATATGTCGAGCTTTCAGAGGGTGTGATGTACCAAACGGTCGTAATGTTGATATTAGATAACATGTTGATCAACATATCTATACCTCCTTACTCAATTCTAAAAAGTTTTTCTTTACTTAGCACGTTTTTGGGTTTATAAGTCCATTTCTTTTCCTCTATCACACATTCGTGGTCTGATATTTATCATGTAATCATATTTTTCATAATATCAAATTGTTTATATGTTGTCCATGTTTATTTTGTTCATATTTCGATGTTCAATATGACTTGTAATTATGTTAGTTGATATATTAACTATTGACTATTGTACAGACTCTCTCCCAAATGTACATTATCAATGCTGGTCCTGGATTCCGGATGCTATGGAACACTGTGAAGTCTTTTCTTGACCCCCGAACAACATCCAAAATTCACGTATGTAGTAAATTTCCTCTTTTTTATAATCTGGAATGATGTAGTGCAGTTTGTATAGGGTGGAAGATTTTGTAACTTTCATTTAATTAGTGGGCTTAGCTTAAATCCTCTAAATATAGAGGGTTGATCTCCTGTATTTGGTTCGATATACTTTGATAATTAAAAAACACCTTTATGGAGTACTTGGAGATTTTTTTTCCTTTGGCGCTTGGTTGCATCATGGAATCACTATTCAAGAATTCGTTTATCTTGTTTAGATTCTGACATCTACTGTTCTCTATTTGAATTCGTGTTAGGTTCTTGGAAATAAATACCAAAACAAATTACTTGAAATAATTGATGCCAGGTAATTAATTTTCATTTGTATATTATGCTCTCATCCTGTCCTTTTTTAGGGAACACAACTTGTTCATCTATCAATTGTATGCATCGTGCAGTGAGTTACCAGAATTTCTGGGAGGAAGTTGTACTTGCGCAGATCTGGGAGGATGTATTCGTTCAGACAAGGGGCCATGGAGAAACCCAGAAATTTTGAAGGTTTTGTTCCGGTATTCTACCTTTGATCTTTCATCATTAGTTTTTTTTAGTGGTGATTGTTGAATGTGTCTATTTTGGCAGATGATTCTTAATGGCGAGGCAAGACGTGCCAGACAGGTTGTAAAAGTTCTAAATAGTGAAGGGAAGGTTGTTGCATATGCAAAGCCACGATACCCAATGGTAACCTTCTATTTTTTTAAAAACCATTCCAGATTTGGGCGTAATTCTATTCTCTCATTCCTTTTTCTATAACAAAGCACTAAAGCATTTTTCACCTTTTAACCATCTTAAAAAAGGTGAAAGGTAGTGATACGTCCACTGCAGAGTCAGGATCTGAAGCCGAAGACATTGCTTCTCCAAAAGCAATGAAGAGCTATTCTCATCTTCGTTTGACTCCTGTTCGGGAAGAAGTAAGTTTTCATTTGTTGAGTGCTATCTACTACATTATAGTTTATGCGACAATATCTTGGAGTTATAAGATGGGTTTTTATAAGGACATATGTTTAGATTATAGGAAATTTTGCAGCCGTAATTTTCTTAGTGTTTCTCATTGGTTGCTGCAGGCTAGAGTTGGCGGGAAAGGAGGTTTTGCCGCTAACTTCTCTGGGTATGATGAATATGTTCCCATGGTTGACAAAGCTGTTGATGCTGAATGGAAGAAGCAAGTTTCACTCCAACGACCTAGCACCTCTAGAGGTTAGCAAAGTCCAATCTGATCCATCGCAACTTCTGTGAACCATATCAGCCAATAACTTTGGACATATTTTACATATCAATCAAACCAAGTCCGCTTAGCAGTTTGTTAAAAGCAATGTTGAGTATACTTCACTGGTTGGAGGACACAGTATATTGAAAACTGTCTTGTGTCACATATAAATAACCTTTTTTTTGTTCCAACTATGAAATGGGTGTGCATATCCGGTACTTGTTTCAGATGTTCTTTCATAATTTTAGAATTTTAGATGATCGTTGCTAATGAATTCAAATTTTATTTATTTATTTTTAGGAGCTCTTCCACTGCCTAACACTGAAAAAGCACCTGAAGCACTTTGTGCTCGAATGTTGATGGTATTCATGGGCTTTTTCATAGCCATCTTGGCTTTCTTCCGTTCAATGGCTTGCCAGATAAGTGGGAAGAAATTGACTAATGTTAGTCAACACACTCCAGAACAACTGTCCCTTGATAAAATGGCCATGGAGCAGAATCGCTCCCCTTCATCAATTCCGAAATTTACAGAAGCAGAACTCCTCTCTAATCTAACGAAGAGGCTGGGTGAGCTGGAGGAGAAGGTCGATACACTCCAATCGAAACCATCCCAGATGCCATATGAGAAAGAGGAACTATTGAATGCTGCTGTCTGCCGCGTGGATGCCTTGGAAGCTGAGCTGATTGCTACCAAGAAGGTATTATGCGATACTCTTTTATCTTTTCAGCTTTGGAAGCTTGAACTTTTGTGATGTGAATGTTTTACTTGTGCTAATTTAGTCACTCCTCTATCTTTAAAGCACAGTGTTGTGGATTATTCATATATAGGTTGTTTTATGCTCTTATGACACTGCTCCTAAGTTGGTCAATTAGTCTCTGTTCTGTCCTCTGGAATTTATTTATCTATGTCCATTGTATCGTACCGACATGTAGTCTAAGTCCCGCTTTTACTGAGCAGGCTTTGCATGATGCGTTGATGAGGCAAGAAGAACTGCTTGCTTACATCGATAGCCAAGAGGAAGCAAAGTTGCGGGTAAGCCATCTATCAATATTTTTGCACATATTCAACTGTCTCTATGTTTGCAGTGAATCTCAGTCTCTTCTCTTATTGATGTGTGTGTTCCTTTCCATTCATCAGAAGAAGAGATTCTGCTGGTAATATGTGGCTTGGTCTCGGGATAAGAGGAGAATGCGCTAAGCGCAGCTGGGTCTCGTGTATCAGCTATGACTTGGGATTTGAAGGTGGTGGTGCGCTGCTCGTCATTGATCTGACTGACTTTATATTTCAATGATGTGATTATCTCTCCGATGAGGAGGAAAACGCACATATGCGCATACTTTGTGTGATTACATGTGAAGTTTTCATGTTTCGAAAGAATATATATTTATTCAGTAAGTTTTTTGTTGTGTGTTTTTCACCTTCATCGAAATGAATTGGAAACGCCACAGTTAATATATCTCTGCATGTCGTATGATTGAAGGCTTCCTTAAATATATATATATAAGAATAAAGTATTTGATCAATCAAATATACACGACTGCAAAGTGCAGACCAATATTTTGGTCTTCCTGACTTATAAGTATATATTTAAATTGTTAGAATGATACCACAGGAGGTAAAACTATGACCATTTTAATGCAATTTTATTTATAATATTGGGGTATTCCCCATTAATGCCTCCATTGATGGGCATTGTGGAAGTAAACATGCTCTAATGAGCGGTTCCGTAGGCAGGGTTTGAGATTTCTTGGTCATGTTGTTTTTAGGTCTCAAGTCAAACCTTCGGATGAGTTTAATATAAAAATTTTTTTATGTCCTATGGGTATAAGCTTTAGGTTGGGCGCTGACGTTGATGCTAGGGGAGCAAAGCTCTACCAGCGTGTCATAAAAAATCTATACCAACGATATTTCTATTACAAGCTTACAAGAGTGTTAATTGGATTTGAATAACAAAAAATACTTGTTTGTTTGAATAACTTGTTTAAACTTTAAAGAAACTAAAAGTTCGTTGGATAACATTTTCTTATTGAAACTTAAGCATTTTGTAATTAAGTATGTTTCTTGTCTCTCATTTTTTGGAAATATTTTTGAAATTGTATAAAAATTTTGGAAACAATAAAAACAAGTTTCTTGTTTCCGTTTCTAATTTATTATAAAACATAAACATAAATGGAGTTCGATTGCTTGCAAAGTGTGGAGAACAACGCCTAAAAAATCACTGAGAATAATTTAAAAGACCCTACTAAAAAAAATTAATAAAAATCAAAGGACTTATTCGAAATACAACTCACATTTAACACATATTTTAGAAATCACTAATTAACTTTCGACTGTACATTCCCTTTTGTTTTTTTCTTAGAAATTATTACAAAGGTAGATTTTAATATTACAGCATAAATAGGAATTAAAATCTGATTCTTCTGCTTTTATATATATATTTCACAGCAATTATTAAATAAAGATATCTTTTATCTTTTTAAGAAAATTAAATAAAGATTTCTGATTGATATGTGATGTATTATTATTTATTTGAGACATATTATTAAAACCACAGATTTTAATAACTTTTGAAAACATGTGTTATTGGGTGAGTAAATTTTTGGTCCCAAGTATCATTTAAAGAACATTATCCTACCTTATTATTTAGGTTACATTACTATCTTGAACTTTAAGATAAGTTTTCTTTTTTCTCTTAAATTTAAAAATTTGTTTAAAAGCTACCATTCTGTCAACTTTTTCCTCAAAGTGAAGATGGAAAAGTGACGTGACAGTGACTTGTAAAATAATTGTACACGTGACAAAGTTTTCAAGTTACCCATTAATTATACTAAGGAGATGTATTAGGCCATTTTGCTATTTTTGTAAATTATATATATATATATATATATATATATATATATATATATGAAGTTTCTTTTCTACTTAATTCATACAAAATTTGTCATTTTTTCTTTTCTATTCCATGCATTTGTTATATTTTAAATGTATAAAAAAAAACTTAACCTTTTATGTATCTTATATTATAAAATCTGAACTCAAATTTTCTTAAAAAGAAACAAAATACAATACAATTCAATACAATACACAATACAATAGAATAGAATACAATAACAATACAATGTATGGTGGGCATCATATATATGACTTCTTCATCTTATTGTTTCTAACAAAAGAAAGATGAAAATTTTGTTTTAATGTACACAAAAACACATTGATTCATCTCTTAACACCAACTAATCAATGTCTTAAATACATATAATAAAGATTAAACCATTGATGGAGAGTGAGAGAGAGAGAGAAATGGGGAGAGATAGAGAGAGAAAGAGGAGGGAGAAACCCTCTCTCTATAATATGTTTCTTTCTTTTTATTAATCTTTTGGATTTATATCTCCAAGCTCCTATATATATTAATTAACAACATCACATTATTCACCAGCGGAATGGGTTCTGCAAAAAATCACAATGCAAAAACACAATCAGATGTATGAAAATAATAATAAGATCACTATCTAAAGTTTTTGTGAAAAACATATTATGAGAATTTAGGTCATTTAGCTTTCTTACCATCTTCTTCTTCTTCTTCTTTTTCTCGATAAAGTCGACGAGCTCGGCCTCCCGAGCAAGGGACTCCTCGAGTGCCTGTAGAAGAATTTCAACGACGCCATTTATGATTAGGGTTTGAGAGTATTTATGAAATATAAGAATGTTCCAGTTACAGATTATTTGAGTAAAAAGAGCCATCGTTCTGATGCAAAAGAGTTGAAGAACACCATTATGGTCAAAACTAGTTCTTTAGGTAAACGGTATGGTTGGGAGTGTTTTTTCAATTCCTTGAGAGTGTTTCAGAATTTGTGTTTGTCCTTTTAGAAAACTGTTTGTTTTTAAAAAAAGTCATCTCAAACTCACTTTAGATAGAAAACAGGGAGTAGGGTATTGACCTTCTTGGTGGATTGGAGCTCGAGTTCCAAAGTATCGACTTTGCTCAAGGCAGCATTGAGCATTTCCTCCTTGTCGGCGGGCATCGTGGCGGGCTTGGTGTTGAGGATATTGACCCTGTCTTCGAGCTCGGCCATGCGCTTCATCATGGTCATGTAGTCGCTGAGGGGCACGGCTGCGGGTGCGGGGAGGGCCTGGTGGTGGCCCTTGGTCATGGAGCCGTCGTAGTAGACAGTGCTGCTGTAGATGGCTGCCTCAGTCAGCTTCTTGGGCATCGTCCTTGTTAGCCGCACCATCGTCACAATGCCCATAACCAATGCCATTATTCCTCCTACTATTTGGTTGCTGAACCCGTCTGGCACTTTGTATGTTTCATGCACTGCAAATGGGTCTACCAATGACACAACACAACACAATTATTAGTCATTAGTCTAGCATGATCCATTAACCCGTCTGAGTATGTACCTGTTTTTTGTTTCTCGTTTCCAATTTTTTAAGAAATCTAAACATTTTACAAGTATGTTTCTTGTTTCTCTTTTCTGGAAACATCTTCAAAATTATATAGAAATTTTGGAAGCAATTTCTTCGTTCTTGTTTTCATTTCCAATTTGTTCCAAAACATAAATAAAAATATTGTTGATCATACTTAAATTCACGGATGTTGGTATTGGAAATGAAGAAACAGAAACAAGAAACATGAATGTTAGCAAACGAGCTCTAACATTCAAGTTTCTTGTTTATGTTTTTCATTTTTAATAAAGAAAAATAGAATTGCATGGCTCCAACCCCGTGAATTCAAGAATGATCAAACAATATTTATTTATGTTTTGTAACAAATTGGAAATAGAAATAAGAAACAAGAAACCTGTTTTGATTGTTTCCAAGATTTATATACAATTTTGATAACGTTTCCAAAAGATGAGAAACAAAAAACATAGTTAGTTGTAGATAGGTGTCAATACCGCTAGGCTAAGTTCATGTTACCATGTTTTTAGATTTTGGATGGATTCTTACGGTAAAAGATTAAATCTACCATTCGGATCGATTGGTAGTTTAACAGAGTAGTAAGTTATGTTTTCGAAATAGTATAATATTATTTACTTCTCATTTAATATTGATTATCATTTTTTGGACTTTGTGCAAGTGTTAAAATATCTATAAAGATCATATTTATAAATTTAAGTTTTTTTTGGTGATTGAGTATTTAACAATACTAAATGCATTACTATTTTGGAACAAGAAAATGGATCGTCAAAACCCGACTTTTCATTTTATATTTTCTAAAAAATAAAAAAAATAAGAAACAACAAACATGAAACATGAAATCCAAAAATATTATTGGAGAAACTTGAATCACTTCTTCGTCAATGTTTTTCTCAACAAGAAATAAGAAATCAAATGTTGTCTATTTTCAAAATTTTTATATAAATTTTATAAATATTTCTTAAAAATGAAAAACCAGAACCGACAACCACGAATATTTTCTTTAGAACAAAATAAGAAACAGGAATGTTAGGAACTAATCCGTCAACTAAACCTTAACAATAGAAGTTGAGGGTGTGGATACCTTTTGTTATATTGTATTTCTCAGTTGAAAGTGCCCAATTACTTGAATCCACAGCTTTATCCACTACTGGAACGAACTTGTCATATTGATACTGAGATTCGAATTTTTTGGCCGCCGGAATCTGCAACCAAACAATAACATTAAAAAGCTTTTTTTTTTCTCTCTTTTCCAGAGATTCTTAAGAAGAAGAAGAAGAAGAAGAAGAAGAAGTTACTTCTTCTGGAACAGAAGAGAGTTTTGGTTCCTTGGGAGACCCGCCAGCCTCAGCTGCAGCTGCTTCTGAATTGAATGAACCACATCTCTGCAAAAACGAAATAAAGTTTAAAATTTTTGGCAAGATTGTGCAAAATTAACGAAAGGGTTCAAAAGAATTGGATTGTTATTGTTAATTATTGCCTTGGTTCCTGTGTTGTCATCTTCAGAAATGGTCTTCTCTTCAACGTTGGACATTGACCTCCTCCTGCATTTTCCTTCTCCATTTTGAACCATCTGTAATTTCATCAAACAACACAGAAAAATTAGGCCTGTTTTCGTTTTCTGTTTTTCGTTTCCCATTTCTTGTTTTTAATATCAGAATTTGTTGTTGTGATCACCTTGATAATTTCTGGGTCGTTCCATGGTCCCCTGTCGGATCGCATGCAGCCGCCCTTGTCGGCGCAGGTGCAAGTGCCTCCCAGGAACTCTGGAAGTTCACTGTAACAAACAAAACACACAACCCAAATTTCTGAAAATTTACACAAAATTTGAAAAGCTTTTATGTATAATTTTGGTTTGAAGAAAAGAGAAATTAATTAATCCCCACCTGGCCTCGATGATCTCGAGCAACTTGCTCTGGTATTTGTTGCCAAGAACATTGATTTTGGCTGTGGTTTTTGGGTCAAGGAATGATTTCACAGTGTTCCACAGAAGCCTGAATCCAGATCCAGCATTGATGATGAACATTCTGCATAGGGTCTTTTGACCCAAAACCAAAACTTTTCAAATGGGCATTGTTAAGTTAGTGCAGAAAAAGCTTCTGTTTTCAACTGGGGATTGGCAAATTAGGCCATTCCTTTTGAAAAGAGATAAAAAGCTTGGAACTTTTCAAATGGGTATTGGCAAATTAGGCCATTAAAGGTAAAAACATAATGGGTACCTCTGGATAGTTGTCGCCATCGATCTTCTGGAGCCTCTGGATGAGTTCCCTGGCAGATTTGTTGAAGTTTTTGAGCCCCTGCAGAGCAGCAGAGGCACGATTAGGAGAGAAACGAGAACGTTGCCGAACATGATATAATTACACATGACATACCACTCCTTGGACATCCAAAATGGTGGTGCTCTGATCAATGTGCTTCTTGGCAGCAATGGAGCAAGCAGGAAACTTCAAAACAAAGGTCCTCTCGAACTCTCTGACATGGTACTTGACATATCTGTCCATGGTGGTCACTTCCAACAGCTTGGTCGAATCCACTTGGCCAAGCCTTTCTATGTACACTGGTCGCCCATCTTTGTCCACTCCATGGTGCCCTTGTGGATAGTACTTCAACACTTCGTCTATCTCCTTGAACTCAAACTCCTATAATAGTCCACATTCGTCGGATCTCGTGTTAGTTTTTAAAGGCATGAGAATGATTTTAGGAGTGTTAGTTTGTAAAGGCATGAGAATGATTTTAGGAGTGATTCTAACCTAAGAGATTGAATCATGACAAATGATTTTTATATACTTATTTTAACGTTTGGTCAGTGATATGAAATATGTATGTCGTTTACCTCCATGATTGTGTCGGATCCAAACTCTTTCCTCCATTGAAGCATGTCGGACCACATCTGCTTGGACTTCTCAACGTCGAACTTCCTGGCCCTCAAGAACCTGAGCATCATGTGATGGTCGTCATGTTTTGATGGCAGCAACTCTTCCAATATAAGAGCTTGGCGGAAGGCATCTACTTGCTGTAATTCCTTGGTGTCGATGTCGTCTTCAATGGCGATCGACATTACTCTACTGCTGTTTCTCCGGCCTCTGGTCTTCTTCATCGAATGCCTGAACTTGTTCGAGGCATTGATTGCCCTCTGCTTCAGAGATGCAAGTCTTGTCTTCCTCTCTTCCTCGGACATCTCAACTTCGGTGAGACCTACAAAACAAAATAGCACAGAAATTTACCTTCTAACTTTTAACATATACGAATCCTTCCTCTTTCCTTCTTTGCTCCGTCCTTGAACAATGTAGTTTCTACGTACCTGTTTTTCCGGACGGGTCGAGAGGGCCGGACGTGGTGTCACTCATGACTGCTATATATTGCGAGGTGGCTCCGCCGAGACAAGGATCAAAAGGGCTGGAAAATCCAGCACTCTTCTACTACTATATAACTCCAATATTTAGAGTCCTCTCTCTATGCGCCTACACCTTCCATTAAACACATTAAACACACAATCAGAAATGTCAAACATTGTTACAAACAAGTAAAAGTATACAATTTTCATAACGAGGGACAAATTAGATAGAAAACTTTAAAACCGCAAGTCTTATATATAATTTTTCGAATTTAAGACGAACTAAGGTGCCAATTGCCTTCCTCTTCCTTCTTCGCTCTGTCCTTTATGCAAAAGGACACGCAGAAGGAGATATGTCTCGTCTTCCTTGAGAAGATAGAAGAAGAAGAGAAAGATATGCAAAAGAAGTAGAAGAAGGGGATTGAGAAAATACCTTTTGACAAAGAATGCAAGGAGGGAGAGAGAGGGAGATAAAAAGAAAGAAAACTTTGCCCAAAATAGGCCTCCAAAAGGGACAGCTAAGATGGGATCTGACTGATATAGAACAGCCAAGAGAGAGAGATTTCTGGTTCATCACCATTGACACAGTCTTTCAAAGGAAAAAAAATAAAAAAAGTTACCCATTTTTTTAGCCACTCCACCCAAATTTTGTAATCCCCATTTCTTCTTGTTCTTGTTCTTCTTCTTGTTTCCATGGCAGCTTAACTAACTTATCCAACTGTTTTTCCTAAAATTAACCACCACCAAATGAAGAAGTACAGGCTGTGTTATTCAAAAATTTTCTTTTCTACCAAACACTTTTATTATTTATTATATGAAGTGTTTTCAAAAGTGAAATGCTTTTAGTGTCATCATGGTGCTCCACATTTGCTTCCATGAGCTGTGAGTTCATGAAAGAGAGGAAAAAAAGATGGAAGATTTGTGTTAAAGAATTTAATACAAAATGACCCTTTATTCTGAATTGTATGATTGCTTAGAAAAATGGCTTCTTTTTTTTTTTTTTAAGAGGTTGTGGAGGGCAACAACAGGCATTAATAATTTAATTCAAACACAGTCCAGAAGCTAGAGAGGGACATCTGTTTTATGACAGGCATCCCATGATTGGTTGTGTCCAAATCTGAGTATGCATGCTCTGTTTTTTACCCATGCTTTGGTCGGTGGGAATATCAGAATGAGATATTACAGATATTACAGTGCGGCGACCGCTCTTTTGGTAAAAGTTTTATTTTCTGTTCCCGTTTCTAATTTTTTTAAGAAATCTAAACATTTTTCAATTAATTATATTTCTTATTTTTCATCCCTTTTATAGATATTTTGGAAATGACAAAAAAAAATTTCTTTCTTGTTTCATTTCTAATTTGTTTCCAAAAACACACATAGAAATATTTTTTTTTATCATACTGAAATTCGTGGATGTTGGAAACAGAAATAAGAAGCTTAAATGTTACTAAACGAGTCCTAAAGTTTTTGTTTTTTTTTTCTTCTAATTTTTTAGCCACAAGTGTTCGGTAATATTTTCATTTCTCATTTTTAACAAATGTTTTTAAATTTGCATAGAAATTTAAGAAATAAGAATATTAAGATTTTTTTTTTTGAAAACAAAGCATTATTTTATCCATCTTTTTTAACTTATAAACTACAAAATAAATATTAAAGAAAATGAATAAAACATAATTCTTTTTTTAGAAAAACATAAAAAAAAGACATTTAAATTTAAAATTAATTTTTATTTAACAAATTAATTTTCTTAATTCAATTTTGTACGGAGAATTAGGAATAAAAAATAAAAAAATTGTTGCTAAACATGTTTGTGCAATGATGGAAAAAAACAAAAAAATAAAAAATAATTATCAAATGCAGTTCTATTTTAATTTATATAAAAAAACATAAATGGAAACAATAAATATAAACTTAGCAAGTGACATCTATATTCCCAACTCTTATGTAATTTGTTAATTGATTAAATTTTAATATGTTGTTATTTGTTAATGTCCCATTGATATATAAAATTATATTATATTTTCAACCATAATGGTTATTTTTAACAAAATAATATACAAATCTTTTCCAAGTTGATGAGATTTCAATTCAGTCATTTTTTAAGTATAACATGCGAAGGTAGAAATTTAAACTCACGACTTTTCTATCGAAGACGAGTGCTGAGCTATACTTAAGTTGGCTATTGTAATCAATTTTAACTCAATTTGATTGGTTTTATTTATTGATATCAAATAAATTACAAAAGGAATCCAAGTTGTATTTATTAGAAAGAGAGAAAAAAAATCCTTGAATAGCTCAAAAACACAATTTTTTTTAGCACAAATCGAGCAAGGTCGGACAAAATTGTTTCTTTTCCGAGTAATTTTCATTTTCACGCGTGCGAAATTCAAGTTGCAGACCTCCATAAACCTAGAATTGAAGCTTTTACATGCCAACATCATTTTTCTAAATTGACTGTGGAATTCAAGTTGCTTAGCTATGGCGGCTGCGAATCTCTACTCTCCCTCCCCTTCACCTTCCCTCCCCAAAACCCTCAAACATTCTCTCAACTCAAACCCATTTTGCCGTGTTCCGATTCGCCCACTTAAACGCTTCTCCAAAAATCTCTCCCTAAAAGCCGTTCTCTCGCAAAACCCCTCTAAAACCCAGACCCAAACAGCCCAGTTCCAGCATTGCTTTTCCAAATACTCTGATGGGTTTCTCTACTGCGAGGGGATTAAGGTGCAGGACATCATGGAATCTGTTGAGAAGCGGCCTTTCTACCTCTACAGCAAGCCCCAGATTACTAGAAATGTTGAAGCTTATAAGGAGGCTTTGGAAGGGCTGAATTCGATTATTGGCTATGCTATTAAGGCCAACAATAATTTGAAAGTTTTGGAGCATTTGAGGAAGTTGGGTTGTGGGGCGGTGCTTGTTAGTGGAAATGAGCTTCGGTTGGCTCTTCATGCCGGTTTTGATCCCACCAGGTGAAAATTTCTAAGTGCTATTATTAGAACAAAGTTGATTGGGTGTGGGTTTCTCATGATGAATTTCTAAGCTAAACTTCTTTTTGTTATTGATCATTCTGTTGTTTGGGAACTTTTTTACTTGAAAAGTTGAGCTACGGCCCATGGTTTTCCATTTTTCTTGGACTGATTTTACTTTGATGATCGGTAAACAGATGCATTTTTAATGGAAATGGTAAGCTTTTGGAGGATTTGGTTCTAGCTGCAGAACAAGGTGTTTTTGTCAATGTGGATAGTGAGTTTGACTTGGAAAATATTGTGGCTGCTGCAAGAATCGCTGGAAAGAAAGTTAATGTTTTACTTCGTATTAATCCGGATGTCGACCCTCAGGTATGGATTCCTAACTAGTTGTTATGGGTGTGTGTGACTGCTATTATTCTTCAACTGAATGATTGTCTTGTATGTTCTGTTTTGTCCCTCATTTTGAATCGTCAGTTTTCCAAAAAACTCAATATGGAACGAGCCATCTTGAAGTAAACCAACCTTATAGAACACAGTGAAATTGCTGCTAATCTAGGAAACAAGGTTATTGCGTGAGGCAGTTCACCATTTCTAACCCAATCAGGTGGTTGAGCTGGTTTGAGCGTACTTAGTGCGTTGAGTGTAACTCTCACTTCCTCTCTGATAAGGTATTGAAGCTGATGATAGCTTTTTCATAGAGAGGGCTATATCTTCCAATCCGACTACCATGGAACTCTACTTTCTAACAAATATCCTCCCCTTGATACAAGAGCGTACCTGAACCACCCAACTCATATATATTCCCTAGCCATGCTCAAACATATGCGTGGGAAAATTGGTCCTGCTACCTTGTCATTGCTCTTCTTGTATAAGTATGTACAATAGGGAGCCCTATTGATGTCTGGTTCAAGCTTCTAATTCAACATTACTATTTGGATCAGCTTATTTGATAGAGCCCTGTGAGTCAGTCTAGGTGCAAGCAAGTTGGTCTAAGCACCATGATGGTTGATTAAGGAAAGGTTCTAATATGAGGCCCTTATTCAGTTTCTAAGGCAGAAAAGGAGTCAGAACAATGTATAGTACATATGTACTTTTTGTAACAAACTAGATAACACTTTATAATATTATCATACACCTTGTTTTTTTACTTACGCCAAACCGAGTAACTTGCATCATATCATTGATGGCAATCGATATTTACTCACCATAATTATGGTACCACGAAGATTGCTGTGTCATTCTGACTATTCTCTCTTTGAGATGAAAAAAAGGATGTTGGGTTGGGCCATGTTAAGCTTATGGTTTCTCGTTGGTCTTCTATTGCCAATTTTTTTTATATACTTGCACCTTTTTTGAAAAAAAAATTATGGCTTCCTGGCAACTATTACATATTCAAGAGCAACTGAAAAGCATATATGAAGTGGCCTAACTTTGCTATTTTGTCTTTAGAATTTCTAGAAACCATTCTAGTTATGTCTGTTATCATTCTGGGTTTTGATGAATGTGAATAATATTTATTTAGGTACATCCTTATGTTGCAACCGGTAATAAAAACTCCAAGTTCGGCATTAGAAATGAGAAGTTGCAGTGGTTTCTTGATGCTGTCAAGGCGCATCCTGATGAGCTTAAGCTTGTCGGGGCCCATTGCCATCTTGGTTCCACCATCACCAAGGTAAGCTATTAACTGTTGTGGTCCTTTTTCCTTGGTACAATGTAAAAATCTTAAATAAATTTGAATTGGACTTGTTATATTCCGTAACTATATAACTTACAACATTTATTAGATGATTGTGTAAGTTCACAAGAGAGTTTTACAGATTGTGGCTGTCATTTTATGAAATTGATCATTTTCTCTCCATTTGTCACCTCTCACCTGGCATAACTGATTAGATAACTTTTACTCTAGTTTATGCTTTTTCTCCTTTCCTTTTGTTTGTTATTTTCTTTTTGAAGATTGATACAGTTTGTCTTCATGATAGGTGGACATATTCAGAGATGCTGCAGTACTAATGGTCAACTACATTGACCAGATCAGAGATCAAGGTTTTGAAGTTAATTACCTCAACATTGGAGGTGGACTTGGGATAGATTATTATCATGCTGGCGCGGTTCTTCCTACTCCCAGAGATCTAATAAATACGGTCTGTATTACCAGTAATTCTAGAACATAGCGCCTAAGGGAGAATTCTAGAGCTCCTTGATCTCTCTCAAATACCGGACTTACTCGATAGCCAAAAATACCAATCCTTTTGCGCCTAACTTATTTGACCATACTTACAAAAACACTTGAAAAATACCCACCCATGTCCCTCTAACAAGCTCTACTACTGGCCCCCACATAACTAACAGAATTACACTCCCCACACTCACATCTATGGCTCACTCTCTCTTCCCCTCTTCCTCCCATAAACATTCACAACCGGCAGCCTATCAAATTTCATTTTACTATCTCTTATGTATAAATTTGTTTTTATCCTAATCTGAATCTGAAAATTACTTTAGTGTTATAGTAACTTTTTCTTTTCCCTTTGGCAATTTGGCATCCTTAGGACTTGTAGTTCAGTTACATCGTACATGGCATAAAGCTGTATTACCTTTGCAATATTTATGCTTCATGTGCTATGATTCAAATATTAATGCTTCATGGAGCTCAATCATTAGATCGCAGGTTCCATTTTTTTTCCAACGAACTTGTCTATTTTTCCTGCACTGTATTACTAAATTTAATATATTTGCGCCTGATTTTAAATTTTGGCTATTGGATTGAAAACATACGAAATACTAGTTGGGGGTCGTGCCATGCGGTGCCTCTCAAGGAGAGCGATATGAATGGAATTATTTGCTTTTGTCAAATGAAGGTTTGTCAACATTCTCATATCACTGCTGATGCAGGTACGGGAGCTGGTCCTTTCACGAGATCTTAATCTAATCATTGAACCTGGGAGATCACTTATTGCCAATACTTGCTGTTTGGTTAATCGAGTGACGGGGGTCAAAACTAATGGGACTAAAAACTTTATTGTGATTGATGGTAGCATGGCCGAACTGATCCGCCCTAGTCTTTATGATGCTTATCAAGTAAGTATTCTAGTAGGTAACCATATCTTGATGTTACTGATGGTGCTTGGGGATGAACACAGTGTTTCTGTCTTCATAATTCTCCACCTTTCATTATGCTCCTTTGCTTTAAGAAGACTTCTTAAACACTCTTTACAATTAGTGTGGTCTGATAAAGACCTGCAATGTTGGACATCTTGGCTGTTGAATACATGATTAAGTATTTTTTTTCTGGCGATAATTAGATTGACTTGGTATTTGATGCAGCACATAGAATTGGTTGCTCCTTCAGCATCTGATTCCGAAATCTCGACTTTTGATGTGGTTGGCCCTGTCTGTGAGTCTGCAGATTTCTTAGGGAAGGAAAGAGAACTCCCAACTCCAAACAAGGTAGTATCTTACCTTTTTAAGAACCGTCACAGCCATGCGATGTTTCTGTAATACACTACTTATATTTCCGATCGGTAATGCTTTGCAGGGAGCTGGTTTGGTTGTCCATGATGCTGGTGCTTACTGCATGAGTATGGCATCTACTTACAATCTCAAGATGCGTCCTCCCGAGTACTGGGTATGTCGCTCGTACATTGTTCCTTTTAACATCACATGATGTCTCTCTTTCATATGCCACCTTAAAAAATCTTAGCAAAGTTTTTCTCTTCTTTTTTGGCATTTGACTTTGACTCTCCTCTTTAATGAACTGAATGTTCCTTTGAAAAGAAATGCAAGTTCATTCTGATTGCTCTGTAAGTTGCTGTGTTTTGTTGAGGTTGTCTGATCTTAAATGAAGTTATATAACTATAAGAAATTGATTCTTTGAATTTAGGTTGAAGACGATGGATCTGTGTCCAAAATTAGGCATGGGGAGACATTTGACGATCACATACGATTCTTCGAAAATCTTTGACTGGAGATTCGCATCCATTCCTCTTGTTCAACTATGGCCTTTTCCCCCATGTATGCTTGGCTTTTTCAACTATTCAATCAAGCTGTTGGCCAAAGTTGAGTAATGTTTTAGAAAGACTGTTGTTGAGTTTGTGTAAACTTTAAAAACAAATGAAAAAGTGATCATGTTTCTCATCTTATATTCAGTGTCTAAAGATTAAAAAGAAACAGAAGAACTTGTTACCAAATTATGGTGGAATTGCTGTCTTGATTATGGAGAACTGGTAGCAGAAGAAGAAGAATGAGAAGCCAGTGGGAAAATTTAACAAGGATTTTGAACTCTATAATGACATACACATGTATGTGAGTGTAAAATCTTGGAGTGCTTACCAATCTACAAATGTAATTAGTTAGAGATAAATTTTATCTTCGAGTTTTAGTATAATTTTTTGTATTTTAAATTTAGAGACCAAATTGAAGTATTTGTTCAAGTTGACGAACCAAAAATATGTTTATCTTAAAAAGTAATCCATCAAAGTATAATTATTTTTAAACAAATTTTTTGTCATATCTTTTGAGATTGAAAATTGGACTTATATGTGAATGAAGAAATAGAATTAAAATAATATTTAAATTAGAAAGTTAACTTCTATGGATTTCATAATCTACCTTCTAGAAGGTAGAGATATTTATTTTAGATTTAAAATCAAATTAAACTAAACATTTTTATTGACTTTCTTGAATGTTTGGATCAATATTATCTTTCAACTACTCTTAAAAAAGGGAGGAGAAGAAATATATTCAAACTTTCTATCTTAAATGTTATGATATCAATGATTGAGACCTCTAATGAAAATCAAAGTTTTACGACCATGTAAAATTAGGCATTAAGTCAATTTTAACTGGAGTGCATCCTACTTTTTACTTAAAAATGTCGGTACACATTCACAAATAGATTTTCATAGTTTATAATCGACTCCAATAACCTTTATTCTTTCTAAGGGATTTGTTTCGAAGGAAATGAAAATAAAAGTTTATACTTGCATATTGCAATGGTTATACCGAGAAATACTATTCAATAAATTTAAAGTTTGTTACATGTGTTGCCTGTAAACTTAAATGACTAAAATAATACTTATCTCTATCGTAAACATCTTTAAATATTGAATTCGTAGGTTTTTTTTATTCTTATTCTACATTGGCAGGTTAGAATGTTGAAGAAAGAGCTAGTTTTCTTTTCCTCGTGTTTTTTTGAGTGGTTGTTCTTTTACTATGTATTACAAAAATAGGTACTAATGTCAATGTCTTGTTTTGCTATTTATCCATGCACAAAATAAATTTCACTTTGTAGTCTATATAATTTTAATATTTTTTAAAAAATTATATTCTCATTGAATTTTGAATAAGCCACTAGCTGAATTGGTAATGGTAGATGTGCTAATGGAGGGTAGATAAGATTATCTTCAAGGCACACGTGATGTCTATCAAATTTACCATGTTCAAGTCAATTTTTGAATCTCAAATTTTGATATGGTGAAGGAGGCCCAACTGGCCTATCAATGGTAGTGGAAATTCTTCCGGGAGCTTGATTCTATATCTTCTTCAGATATTTATATAAGTTATAATTACAACCGGTGCTTTGCAAGTGATTCATTAGACGACTAAGCCACTTAATTTAATTATTATGATGTTGTGTCTAATCACTTAACATCTCATACTAGTACATCTAAGTGAGCTTATCTCTGCTAGGCTGACCTACTAAATGAATTGATCAACCCAATTAATCTCACTCTCATCTGGTAGCTTTGACATTGTTTTCAAGTATTTTGTAAACTTTTTAGTTCAACACGTGGGATGAAGATTCGAACCTTCTACTGTTTTGGCGGTCTTGTAACTTTAAGTTCTTAAATAATTGATTAATTGATGTTGAAATGTCACCCATAACACATCTTAGACCCTTCATTTTAAAAAAATTAAATTAGTACTCTAGATAAATAAATATCTATAAGAATTTAATTGTTACCTTCGGACAGAATTAATCAAGTGTTATTATAAACTCATTTCCATTGAATGTTTCATTATATTTAACCATTAATTTCAACAAAAAGTAACCACATCAAACCTTGAATAAATATGTTTGAACTCACCCCGTTGAAACTTTGGTAAAGAAATAATATTTCATTTGGATTCTCATTCAACCATGTTGATGGAAAGTAAAAAAATTGAATTTTTACAATTGGTTAAAAACAGTTGAAAAGAGAGAAAATGGAGTGGAGAGGAGAGAAAGATGGGTAGATAGGAAGAATAGAAACTGAATATTCCTTTTCCGATCATATACAGACGGCGGTAATCCGCAGGAAATGCGTCTTTGGATTTTCCTCCGTTTTCTTCCTCGGACTTTTCCAATAATACCCTCTTCCGTTGGACAAAGAAAACAAAAGAGAGAAAACAGCGAAACCAAATAGAAAAAAAAAAAAAAAAGAAGAAGCGGCTTTCAAGTTCTTCATCCGAAAAAAAAAGTCTTCAGCTGCTGGATTTCCCCTCTGTCTCCATTCTCTTCGTTACTGTTCCCGTTTTCAGAAATGCCCATTTCCTAAAACCCCCAAAATTCAAATATCAGAACCCACAACTTCACTACCATTGCTCTCCATAACCTAACCATCTTCCAGTCGGAGACCAGCCTAAGATTCTTAGGCTCTCTCTGGTCGAAGGTTTTCCCTCGTTCAATATCGGTGGGTTTGGACTATCTAATTCTCTCTTTCTCTCATTTGTTTTTTTTTTTTTTTTTTCTGATTCTGTTTCGCCATTTTCAAATTGGACTGTTGGGGACTAAATTTTTGCTTTCTGTTCTTGTTTTTGCTTTCTGGGTTGGGGGCTAATTGCTGTATTTCGAATTGGGTCATCGTCCCTTGTTCTCGTTCTTCGTGCTTTTCGTTGATTGAATTTGCATTTGGCCGAAATGAGTAGTTTATTGCATGTGTGATTTTCTTTTTCTAATGTATCGTTTGTTTTATTCTCTCTCTGCGTATTTCGACCTCTTGTTCGGCTCTTTATGACATTATCCCTTATTTCTCTTGCCAAGCGAAAGTGAGCTATTAGGATTAGTTTTTATAAATTGATTTTGCCACCAGTTTGTTAGTAGGGAAGAATCTGGAGGTAAAGTGAAGGGAAAAAGAGAAATGTGATTTGATGCTTGCACCATAAAAAATGCAACAATTGTTTAACATGGTTATCCTCTTCCTTTTGTTCTTTGATTTCGATTCTTTTATGAATTGTACTCATGTAAAACTGTGGATTTGGAAGCTGGTTTCATTTTTTGGAATTGATTTCATTTGTTTGGAAGAATAATTAAATTAATATGAAATTTCATTTCAACTTCTACTCTTTCATTTGAAAATTTACGTTAATCCTCCCTCCTCCTTCAAATGTGGAACTCGATTTTTATTGAAAATTGTTTTTCCTGAAACTAGATTAAAAGTTATAGAGGTAATTCATTTTGACCTTTCTAAATTAAGGCAACTGTCAATATATGCATCGATTTACCTTGTCTGGAAAGCCGAATCAGGAAAATCTATATTCTTAAACCTCTAATCCTGGTGAAAATAAAATCTATTTGGAAATTGATTCAATTTATTCTTTAGTTGCTTTGGTTGCATTGTAATCCTCCACCTCCAATAATGTGAAGCAAAAACTTCACTGTTTCATAAGTATTTGGATTTGATTTGCAAATATTCATTATCTGTCCCCTGCCATCTCTCTATGGAGAGTTATATATCTCCATCTACATTATTTCAAGCTAAGAAGTTTTTCAAGTTCGTTACAAGTTTAAAATATTTCCATGAAACGGAACTGATTGTTATTTAGACAAAGAGTCTTGAATGCTTTAATCATTTGGATTGTATTCTATACAATTTGTTTCTTAGCTTTTCAGTTGTGTTAAATTTCAGGTTCTACCGCACTTCCGCAGAAGTTGGGTGTGCGGGGAGAAATCATTCAAGTCACCATTATTTATGTTTTGTCGAGTTATTACTTGTAATATGGCTGGTGATCCTTTGACAAGTTCTAATGGCAACGCCAATGTCATTGCACCACCTGATCCGCGGAGGACTTTCCAAGTCGTCGTGGCTGCTACTGAAAATATGGGTATTGGTAAGGATGGGAAGCTACCATGGAGGCTGCCTTCTGATCTCAAATATTTTAAAAACATAACCACAACAACATCAGATCATGGGAAAAGGAATGCAGTTCTAATGGGTCGAAAAACATGGGAGAGTATTCCTGCTGAGCATCGACCACTACCTGGTCGTCTCAATGTTGTTCTAACTCGTTCGGGGAGTTTTGACATTGCAACTGTTGAAAATGTTATAATATGTGGTAGTATAACGTCTGCTTTGGAATTATTAGCAGCTTCTCCTTACTGTTTGTCAATAGAGAAAGTTTTTATCATAGGCGGTGGTGAGATATTAAGGTGTGCCCCTGTTTTCCAGTCCTCTCTTAGTGTATGCTATTTATTATTTCTGTGCACTGATTTTGTGTTTAATGCAGGGAAGCTCTGAATGCCCCTGAATGTGATGCTATCCATGTCACAGACATTCAGACATGTGTCGAATGTGATACCTTCATACCAGCTATTGATAAGTCTATGTTTCAGCCATGGTACTCATCCTTTCCTGTGGTGGAAAATAACCTTCGATATTCTTTCACTAGTTATGTTCGTGTGAGGAGCTCAATTGAACCACCCATTGATCAGAACAATGGTCTGGTCTCTTATAGTAGGCCCGATTCTTCTAATTTTGAGGCTAAGAAGTTCTCTTTCCTGCCTAAGGAGATTTTTGAAAGGCACGAGGAGTACTTGTATCTAAATCTTGTTAAGGAAATCATCTCAGATGGTACTTCTAAGGATGATAGAACAGGAACTGGTACTTTGTCAAGATTCGGCGTCCAGGTAATGTCATCTTATCATTTGGAATGTCCTTTTTTTTTTTCCTACCAATTGCTTTATTTCAAATTCTAATGCGCTTTCAAGTTCATGTCTTGTTCCTGGTATATGTACAGATGCGATACAACTTGCGCAAAACTTTTCCACTGCTTACTACTAAGGCATGTGCCAATTTCCTATTTTGATTTCTTTCTAGCTGGATCGTGAAAGCGAAACTCCCTCTTTTCTTGTTTTGTTTCCCTTTTGCAATTTCTAGGAATCTCGTGCATCATTTATGGAAATGGTCCAGTTGTTGATATATATCCTTACTGTTTGATTCTTCAGAAAGTGTTTTGGCGAGGGGTTGTTGAAGAACTTCTTTGGTTCATCAGTGGGTCAACCAATGCAAAGGTTAAATGCTATCATAACTTTAAGCTTTACTTTACTAGTAGGTGGTTGTTATTCTATTTTTTTCCCTCTCTGTAGTATTTTCCATTAGGAATTAGATTGAGCCTTGTGACCTAGACTAGATGATCTGCTCCATTTATGAAGCGGTCTGCTCAGTGGTTCTTCCCATCATTTGTTTATTTATTTTTTAATAAGAAACCAAGCTTTCATAGAGAGAAATGAACATACGGAATACACCTAACTGATAATTACAAAAACCTTAGAAACTGACCCCACAGAAAGTATTAAATCTCAAGACCCCAAACAAACTCCCTTGATCTCTCCACCCATAAAAATTCTATTGTTTCTCTCAAGTCAAATGCCCACCATCTGTTTATGTAATTAGCTTAAGATTCCTTCTGCATTCATTTTATTGTTTCTCTCAAGCCAAATGGCTGCTATCTGTTTATGTAATTAGCTTAAGATTCCTTCTGCGTTCATATGATAAATATTATGACTGTACGTATAAATAATCAACACTTAACCGTGGTGAAAAGTGATTATAAAAAATCAATCTAATTGACATTGGTAAAATAAGTATTATAATTACAAAAGAGTCCACCTAGTGAAGCACCAAGGAGAAGCTTTTGACTGATCTCTCAAATTTGGTTAATACTTATACTTTTACCATTGAAGACTTGTGGGTTTTTCTTTTTTAGCCAAGTTTCTCATATAGCACGTTTCCAGTTTTGACTGTGCATTTTCAAATAATCATCACTTGTTTTGAAGGGGTGGCCTAAAAATAGCTATTATATTGCTCGAGTCGTGGAGCAAAGATGACACAAATGAAACTTGGAGTGTTGGAAGGGAGAGCCCAAGTATTTTGATTTCTGAGTAGTTTGATAGTGTAGAATAGATGGGGAAGCGCCATTCTTGGAAATTTCTTTTGTTACTTTTCAGTTGTATTTAAACTTTTCAACAGAGACACCACAAGAGAAATCTTACTTTTGGGGGTATTGTTGACTCCAGATAGTGTTATAAACATGTTGATCATGGACAGAGTTGTGTGAGGGAGGACATATAGGAGTCAAAGTTGTGAGTAACTGAGTTGCAAAGCTTCCAAATTAAATTATACTCTCTAGAGTCAGGAAGACAGAAATTTAGAAGGTGAACTAGTTGTGAGTAACTGAGTTGCAAAGCTTCCAAATTAAATTTTACTCTCTAGAGTCAGGAAGACAGAGATTTAGAAGGTGAACTAGTTGCAGAAAGTCCTAATTTCAGGTCACGAAGAGATCCAGTAAAGGTGATAAGCCAATAGTTGCTTCATATTGACCGTCCTCCACACCAGCACATTTTTTGGTTCGAGAGTTGGAAGAGTCTGGCATTTTTTTAAATATATGTATGTGAAACCGATCTTTCATTAAAAAAAAAATAAAAGAATATACTATGGCATACAAAAAACAGCCCAGCAAAAGGAGCCCAATAAATTGCATAAAGGGACCCCAATCCAAAAGAATACCCACTAAAAAATATGAGCTTCAAGGTTTATCAGCTACCCAAATTAAATTTCTGAAGCAGTATGGTGGAAGGGATAATGTAGGTCTCCTTCTTGCAGTTTGTCAATAACACTATCTTATTCTGATTGAGCAAGAATGTTGCTTTTGTTATCTCTAAAATACTTTTCAAGTCATTGGCTCTAATGTTGATCTTAGAGTCAATAGGAAAAAATATTTTGTAGTTGGTATTTTGTCTCAAAATTTTTTTTTGGTAGTTGGTATTAATGTGATTAGGCTATAAGCTTGTTTAGGGGTGGGCTCAGTTATCCTTCTTCCTTGACTTATATCTTTCTTTGGGCCATAGTATGACATTTCTTCTTTGGGATCCAATTGTGGAAAAGGTTCACCTTTTATGTGAAGGGGTGAATCAGAGGGGTGCGGTTCTCAAGTCAGAATTTCAAGGCATGGGAGAAGGAAGGGGTAGGAATCGCGAATTTAGTAATTAAGTATTTTGCTTGCTAGTCTTTGTGGTTGTGGTTTTTCCCTTTATAGCTTTAGACACTGTTGGTTGGTAGGGTACAAACATCACTCTAATGGGTAGCTGGATACTATTATGGTGACTAAAGGCACTTTGGAACTTATGGAAAGTGATTTCAGTCTCCCTAGTTTCCTCAATTTCATTAAATTCTCCCTAGAAGATGGATTTCGTGTTTGTTTCTAGGAGGGTCATTGGATTGGTTATGGTCTTCTTTGTTTGCTTTGCATTTTTACCCTTCATTTTCTCAATCACTCTTTGTGTAGTCTATTCCTAATAGACGTGCACATTTCTTTGTTATCTCTATTTGGGGGTTTTTTTTTCTCTCATAACTTCCTTGTTAAGGGAACTTTATTTGGTAGGGAAGCTGTAGATGTGTCATTGACTCCTTTTATCTCTCTCGAATGGTCTTCCTCTCCAAGCACTTGGATCCTCAAGTCCTTTGATGTGCTTTATTGTAAAGCCTGTCTCTTTTTGCTTGCTTACTCCATCTTCTTCATAACCCTTTTTTTAGTAAATATTTTCATTGAAGATGTCAAGAGTACATCATAAGCCCGAGGAGATTTTAGAAAACCATGAATTGACATTAATAAGAAAAATGAGTTTTTACACAAGGTTTTGACAAGAGTAATTCAGGTTTAGAGCAATATAGGAAGGTTACTGGAGGGAGAGGGACGTGGTTGGGTTTAGAGCAGTATAGGAAGGTTTTGCAATCTGTCTCCGGCTGCATGGTTACTGGAGGGACAGGCTTGATTTAGCAGTATCTTGGGTATCTCTTTCTTGGAGTGCACTATCTATATTTTGTTGCAATCCTGTCCCCATGGTATTAATACATATTGGATTGCTTTTTCTGTAAACTCCTAATGGGAGTATAATTGCATGATGGCAGTAACTTTGAGAAGAGAGATCGGAGAAGTATCTAGAATGGGAGAGAGATACTACTAAGGATACCTTTTTTTTTCCTGGTAAACTCCTAATGGGGATGCCCAAATCCTACGGTACATTTGGCTCCAAAGGAACATGCATATTTCTTAAGGGAGTACATTTGGCTCCAAAGGAACAGGAATATTTTTTAAGGGAGTAGAGGGAGGATGTCTGAAATCTTGCTAATGTTAATTCCTCCCTTTGGGGCTTTGTATCTAAGGGTGCTTTTCCTCTCTGTGATTACAAATGATTGGAGGCCTTTATTGCAATTATCACTTATTGTAATTATTTTTTGGTGGCTATTGCAATCTTGTTTTGGCCTATGATTTTATATGGCCTTTTTTGTAACCTTCAAGTGGTCTTTTGGCCAAAAAAAGAAGAATTTTTGCATCCTAGGAATAGCATGTGCAAATAAATATACACATCATTATTAAGAATGAGGATTATGAAGGAATTGATATAAATGAATGCCTTTTCAAGTTGACTTGTTTTATATCCTAAAGTTCGGCAATATCCACAGGTTCTTCAGGAGAAAGGCATTCATATATGGGATGGCAATGCATCCAGAGATTACCTCGATAGGCAATTACTTATACATTTTCATAATTTGAATTTGTTCAATATAAAGTTTAAGCTATAATTCTGTTTTTTCTCCTCTTTTCTTTTCTTCTTCCTCTTCCTTTTCCCCTTTTCTTTGTAATCTTAGTATTGGTTTGAGCGAAAGGGAGGAGGGTGACCTGGGACCTGTATATGGGTTCCAGTGGCGACACTTTGGTGCTAGGTTCGTGGATTATTCCAAGGATCTCTTTGAAGTTTGTTTCTATTTTATTGCAGGATTTGAGCTTTAATGCTTTCCAAATTCTTCTACAGGTATACTGACATGCATGCTGACTACACTGGTCAAGGATTCGATCAGTTGCTAGATGTTATTAACAAGATAAAAACTAATCCCAATGACCGGAGGATAATTCTTTCCGCATGGAATCCATCTGATCTCAAACTGATGGCCCTTCCGCCTTGCCACATGTTCGCTCAGGTTGGATTCAAGTTCATGGTTCTTTGTTCTCCATTCATTTCCTTACATTATTCATTTATCTTTTTGCAGTTTTATGTAGCGAATGGGGAGTTGTCGTGTCAAATGTATCAGCGCTCTGCTGACATGGGCCTTGGCGTTCCATTTAATATTGCATCATATGCTCTTCTGACATGCATGATTGCTCATGTTTGTGGTATGCTACTCTTTTTTGCTTTAGTACAATGGAGATGGCTGAATGTTTAAATTACTTAGTTGCAATCTGTTTAATGATAAAGTTATAAAATGAAATTTATTTCTCATCAACTTGGCATTTAAAAATCTCTGAACAAAATAAAGCGGTTTTCCTCCTCTACAGTTATACTTTTAGCTACATTTAGAAACTATTCTTCCTTCCCACGTGCAGATCTCGCTCAAGGCGACTTCATACATGTGATTGGGGACGCTCATGTTTACCATACTCATGTGAGGCCATTGCAGGAGCAGCTCCAGAAACTCCCCAAACCTTTCCCTGTAAGTAGAAAAACTATAATTATGCAATTCTTCCGAGCGTTTATTACCAGGCTGTTTATAATATACACCAACCTTACGTTTCTGTAGATTTTGAAGATTAATCCTGAGAAGAAGGATATCGATTCTTTCATAGCAGCTGATTTCGAACTAACCGGTTACGACCCTCATGAAAAGATAGCAATGAAAATGGCAGTATAGAACACGATCAACTACCCAACGAACAAAAGGAGACTCCGTTACTTTTACCGCATGTTCTCCAAATTTTGAGGCAAGTGCAGTAAATTTACCATGGAAAATGTTATATGAGCTGTTTCTAATCGTCATCGATCTTGTTGGGTTGAATAATCGACAAAAGAACACGTTTTCCTTGGTACTGAAGCAGTTTATCGATATTTCAGGTACAAGCATCAGGGGCTTTGGTTGATATGTTCTGCAAATAAAAAGTGCTAATTGGATATACTTTTATACTTTGTTATGTGTAGTGAGAATCCTTTAGTTCCTATGGTTCTAAAGTGATTTAGTTGGGTTTTTGTATTTGCTATAGTTTTTCCTCATTTAAACATGGAACGGTTTCACACACAAATACACGGTCGCTACTACTATAATACCGTGCTACATACAAATATAATGTAATCTCGATCGATAATTCTCAGACTTAATTTGGTTTTAAAATGATGGCAAGTTTGATGGATTGTGTATACCTCCCTTTTCCAGTTCTTGCACCTCCAAAGATAGCACTAGCAGAGCTGCCTTTGCTAGATTGAATATCATATGACTATTTCGTATCCAGAGAAATTAGGAGAGTTTTCATGTTCTCGAGACGTTACATGATCAATCCCGACTCAAACAAATATTTTTTTTACAGGAGTCGAAAGGGTGAAATCTTAATGAATCGTGATTGCAAGGCTACTCTACCATCCACTCTATGGTTTGATCTTAGAATTTGCTCAAGTGTGAATTTGCTCAAGTGTTATGGAGCCCTTTTGAAGTGGTGACAAAAGTAGGTTTTCTCGAGAAAAGTCGAGTTGTCACGATGATGGAGATAAAGTGTAAACCGTGTCCCGAGAGCGGTATGCGAATCCTATGATCTAAAAAGAGCGCAGAAATTGTAGTGGAATCTGAGTCCCTCCTTAACTGGGGTTCTTGTTTGGAGACAGGAATAGGAATTGGAATAGGATGCCAACGTATTTATTGTATCCCATGGACTGCTTACCTTGATTTCAATATTGTAGATGAGAAAGCATATAAGAGTTTGAGTGTGTAGAATAGAATTATTATTATTCTTCAACTGCTTCTTCTCTTTATCCAATTAACACCTCACTTGAATAAATTCCCTTTCCATTAATACCATTATCTTTCTCATTCAATGAAAATTAGAAGCCCCTCTTCTAAGCTGTTAACCAAATCCAAATATCGTATCGGGTCGTAAATATGGTTTCGTTGAGGGTGAGTTTGACATGATTTTTAAGACGGTGAAAAGTACTTTTTAGCTGATTAAAAGTACTTTTGTCAAATTTTGAGATTGGGTTATGTAATAAAAAATAGATAGTCTAGTTTTGCTTTTCAATAAATATATAGAAAGCATTGATATTTTTGGGTCACATTCTTAGCTAGTTTTGAAAACTATGGGTTTCATTACTAGAACTTGAAAGGAACAATGGCATGTGTGATCTCATGGAAAAGTGTACCAAATATATTCTCTTGTACCATATTTTCATGATTCCCAAATCTTATTAGAATTTGATTCAAACATATTAAATGGGTGATGATGGTTGTTATATGCGTCACACCTGCTTTATTTTATGAAATGTTAATTTAGTTTCATAAGTGTAAAAAACTTAGTATAGCACAGTTCGAATTCCACGTTGAAGTATGGATAGAAGAGTGCTTTCATTAAGCTTGTTGGACACAACATTTAAAGTATAGCACAGTTTACAAAGGTAATTCATAACAAGCATATTTCATATTTTAAGAACATGATTTGTTTTTAAATTCGTGTTGGCTTGATACTTATTAGGATTTACTATATAGAAAGGTAGTGATATATATAAGAGAATAAGACACTCCTTACCTTTTAAAGAGTTGTCGGAGATTAAGGTTCAGTTAGATTTTAAATTATTTATCTTTAAAAAAAGGTATGAATTCAACTCAAATCCACTTTTATTATTAAATGTCAATTACTGTTGAGTTATACTTATTTCGGTACTTAGTATATTGTTTAAAGTAAATAGAAAGAAACATGAATATTGTCTAGATGAGATATTAATCTTCTCGACATTACCCAGTATCATTTATAGTCACTAAATCAATATTGATTGAGAAAATATAGGAGAAATCGAACTGAACCGATCAATTCAATCAAAATCAATTTTAGTTATTAATTGTTTTGGTTTAGATTTGTTGTATATGTAAATCGATCATTATGGTTCAATTATTAATTTGGTCTAAAACTAAAATGAATCGAACTATGGACATTCCTATGAATAGGTATGAGACAATAATATCTATCGATAAAACTTGAGTTGACACAAGAATATATATATAATAGTATAGGTGTAATTCAAAGAGAATAATCAACTAACAAATCTTACTAATATCTCAAGCCACAAGAATAATAAATATGGAACAAATATCACAACTAAAGCTAAAACTAGATTGATTTTTTTTTTCTAAATTTGAATGATTAAATGTGCTATTTATCATAATATGAAACATAAATTAATAATAATTATACTAAAGGCATTTTTTTTTTATAAAATATCATGCATGCACTTTTATACAAGTCCTCTATTTTTCTCTCTCTATCCTTTTTCCTTTTTATATTTATACTTTTACCATGCTTAATTAATTTTTCTATTCCTTTTGAAAGATTATTGGTAGTATTTTATATGCTCTAATATTAAGAAAAATATACCTAAATTTTGTTTGTCTATTTGTAAAATCACAGTTGTTCTTTTATTAAAAATCATATTAAGGTTGAACAAAATTGTTAGCTTTACTTTAATATTTAACTCGATAAATTTATTTTTGGCATTAAACTTTTAATCTCATCAAATTTTAAACCAAAACTTGCATAAATGTTGAATTTAGTACCTCTTTAAAACTAATTTTAGAAAATTTTCAAATGAACCAATAACTTACTCAAAATTCGACTAGGAAAAATTAATTAGAACAATAAAAAATACTTCGAAATTTGAATGAGTTATATATTTCATCCAAACACTTCTTCAAAGATGTACGAAAATTAAAATGGAGAAAAAGGTATATAAGAAAAAGAAAAATATACAGAAATGGTTACAAGTTACAACTCTGTAGAAGTTACCATTTTGTTGTTGTTCTTCTCTTTTTTGAAGTAAAATTCAACCCATAACCCTATTCAGTTGCAGGATTTACATAACCCTATTCAGTTGCAGGATTTACGAGATGTGAAAAACTTGATTTACATGGCTAATTTCTAAAATACACAGTGTTCTTCCTCCCTTCGCAACCTCTGCTGCCGCGCGATGAACGCCTCCACCGTCTGCCGGAACTCCTCGTTGCTCATCCTGTCTTCCGGATACGAGCTTTTCGCCGCTCCCTCGCTGAATCGGACGAGTTTCTTGCATTTCTCCGTCTCCGATCGGCGGAGTTCACGCTGCGGATTCTCCTGCTGCGCGACGGCGATTTTCTCCGATTGACTCCTCCGATAAAGCTTGATTTCTTCAGGATTAACGACTTTTTTTGCCGCGACGGAGGCATCGCCATCGCCATCGATCTGCTTCGTTCGATACTCGATCTCAGCGTGTCGAGTTTTTTGATTCTTCTCGCTGTTTTTTATGAAATCCTCGTAAAGATCGGCAACCGAATTCTTCTTGCTCGGATCTTTAGCGGAGAACTGTCCCGATTTGGCGAACAGAGTGATGACTATAGCGTTTCCGATCAGAAACACGAAGCGCGGACTGATTAAAGTGACCGACAAGCACCTGAAGTACTCACCGGAGTTCTTGACGGCACTGGGCAGATGACTGGAG